GGGAATTTTAAAAAAAAAAAAAAAAAAAAAAAAAAAAAAAAAAAAAAAAAAAAACACAAACAGTGATAAAAGACGCAGAGCATAATTTTATGTTGAAAAATTAAATTCAGCAGTCGTCAAAATGCATCACTGAATCTTTAGCCCCTCCCCAGACTTTTGCTCAGTTTTCAGGCTTCACATTTCTTGACATGGTCATCCGGGGTCTTAATGCGGCACCGTTCACCACCCCAAGATTTTTTTACTTTCAATGGGTCTAATGTGGAAAAGTTTGGAAACTTTATTTCTAATTGAAATAATTGTGCCTTAAATAAGCACTAACATTACAACGGTCAGTTTTTGTCTGTAGAATTAGAAAAAAACATTTACCTCCTTTATTTTATATTCCTACAAGATGCGGATACAGGGTTGTTGTGCAGTTTTCATCAGGGCACTGTTTGAATACAAAGTGACCAGGGCTCCTTACAAAAAGTTTTCATCAGGGCACAGGTGGAATATAAAGTGACCACGGCTCCTAACAAAATACTTTTAAAAAATAAAATTTTATATTGATTTCATGTTTTATTGACCATTGTTATTGTGCAGTTATATATTAACAACTAGTTTTAGTGATTTTAGTGACTTGCAGTTTGTAAAGTGTGCCTGTGCTATGTAGGCCTATTTTGCAACTACAGGATTAGATAAATGGAATCTATGTATTTTCTTTATTATTAGTTCTTAGAGTTAAGAAGATTGTTTCCTTTCCTTTAAATTAACTTTCTTTGTCACGGTTATTGGCGATTTCGGAGCCCCCTGATGTTGACCCCCAGAGCGGGTGCCTCCTTGGTACTCCCATGGTGGATGTCTCATTGGTGAGACCAGGGCAGGTGTCTCCTTGGCACAGCCCTGGTTGTAGTGTGTGTGATGTTTCATTCTGAATGTTCCACATTTTTTATTTTTGTTGTCTTTTTGACATGAATCTCTTGTGAAAATTCTTCATAAATGTTGAGAGAAATACAGATGTCATAGTTTTCATCATTTCCAGTAGGCCTACATAATGAATGTAAGAACTTTACATAGCATGAAATTTTAATATATATCTAATCAAAATGTGCCTTGAAATGAAGCTTTAGTTAAAATTTCAGCTCTTTAGATTATACAAATTCTAAACAAAGATGGGCTAAATGCTAAATGCCAACTGTGAAACACTTACGCCAATTTAAATAAAATCTTGTAAAAAGCATTTATTTATTTAGCACTGGTACAAGCTAACAAACAGTACAACAATTTTTTTGTTAAAAAAACATTTATTTCATTGGTTTATTCGTGAAATAGTTCTTTGCTTAAACAAGGGCTTAAAATTATCACCTTTAATGTCCACATTAAAACAACATAAGGAATCAATACTATTATTTCTTAGAGGACACTATTAAAAAAAACCTACATAAAATATAAACAAACTATTGACATCATCTTCTTAATAAGTATATAAATAAGTATATAAAGTATTTACAAATAAAAGAGGTACAATTTTCATTTATATCATTAGTATCATGCCATAAACAAAGATTCTTCACAGAATTTCAGCTGCCAGATTTTCCCAGCATAGTCATCAAATTTTTCTTTGCCTAATAAATCAACCAGTTTGGGCTATAAGAAAGAAAAGAAATAATAATAATTTGAAAACATTGCAGTGCACTGATATTTTATTTCGCTAAACAATTATCTAAAATAAATTCTAGTTAAATGTTTTGTTCTAAAAGTTTATCAAGTTTTTGAAAGTCAAAGTATTTTAATGCATTTCAGATTAATTTAAAACTCACATTTTTATGTACTTTGTCATTTTAAGTATAGGATATTATGTCTAAGACTTCAAGAGTGTTATTGCAACTATATAATTCCCTGAATTACTGCAATAAAAGAGATCAGATAAGGTAATTAACTGTAGGGACAGTATCTGAAGATTAATCAAATAGTGAACAGTGGGTCCGGGGCTGTCTTAATTAAAACGGGGTGCTCCTGGGCAAAGTAATGTACTGGGACCCTCACTCTCTTCTCTAATCAAAAATCAGATGACTGTTGCTTAGAATAAAATCCAAGGTCACTTTGTCTTTGCAGGTATGTAATCTGCGATTTATATTAATTACCAAGTTTTCTGATCCCATTAACCCAGTCTGGTCACTGCATGTGCAGTACAAATCAAGATGTTTCCTGGATTGTTTGACAGGAGACAGCATTTTTTCCAGCGTATGCCAAAAGCTCCATGTCATGCACTTTGGATATGATAATCATTTTAAAAAAGACAGGGGCGTTTTGGATAACCAGCGTTTGGACAGTCAGCATTCTTTTGTATTTTGTTATTTAGAAATAAATTTTAAAGTTCCACTGGTGCCCTAAAAGAATCATTTTTGCTTATTACATTTATAAGTTCTTTAAATGGTGCTAGAATAGTCATAATCTCCAATACATTCACTTCTAGATCTTGAACTGCTAGCTCATCTACAATTACTTTCACTGTGAGTAATGCAAGCCAAATCCTAATGTTTTTCTTACTTTCATTGAGAAATAATTCAAACAAATTAGCCTATATTTTGAAGGGCCAGCATATGAGTATTATTTTAACAATAAAAACACCTATAATTTTAGCTCAATTCAAAATAGTATCCATATAGAAATATGAGATTTTTACTATGTTTTTGATATAAAGTAAGTAAAGCTAGTTCAGTGCATTGCCCCCCTTGAACAAACACGACACTTGTGATTGGCATTTTTAATGTTTATTTCAGTACCAGCTGATTATATCTGCCGTGATGCCACAGAGGGGGCCATATACAGCTGATCATGGACCATCATGACAGGTCGTGGGTTAAGAGTTTTCAACTAGTGAACAAATAAGAATGAGACTATTTTAAAAACTTACTTCAACTTCATCTTCATCAATCTTATCCAATATTTCATAAGCCTTTTTTAGAGCTCCATAACCAACACCTTGGATACAATCCCTGTTGGAAAGTTTTAAACATTAATTATTTAATAGAAATCTCATTAAAAAAATAATCAAATAGAAACAAGAACCAACAATGTAAAACTCTTAATCATTAAGAAACACCCCGGTGCAAAAAGAATGAAGGATCAAAAATACAATACTTGAGAGAAAATACCATTTTTAAACATATTTATAAATCAGAGCATTATTCTAGTGATAAACCAACCAGATCTTTCATACCAAGACCAGATTCTTAAAAAGAAATAACAAGCTAGCACAAAATATAATGGAAGCTGGAAGTTTTCATGAGCAAATGACTATTGATTATCCACAAAAAAATTCTGTCCAAAGACAATTTAATTGAACAGAAAGCTATTGGGATTGAAAACTATGGAAGTTGTTGTACAGGCTTGTTACTAGAGATGGCTTTCTCACAACTGTGGAATGCACTGAAGCTCACTTCCCAAGACAGTAAGATAGCCAAAGGAAATAAAACTGAGGGAGTCTCAAAGAGACCTGGTGCAAAACATTACAAGCAGACAATAGACAGAAGTGGCATTTCTTGGCTATTGCCTTAAGCACTAGTTGGCGAATGAGGGTTGAAGCAAAGAATCTGTTCTTTACCCCAAAAACATCAACATTTTTTTTTTCATATTAAGTCATACAGTTGAGATAACTGAGATTAACATATGTAAACTCACTTATGTAAGATTTTTATTCTATCCATCAGTCGAGAGGTATTTGTTAGTGTCTCAACACCTAAAAATATATAAATAAATACATAAATTATAAAATGAAAGTTATTTCTTTGTTACTTAACACCTACAATTGAATAAATAATTCATAAAATAAACTTGTCTTCTCCACTGATATTTTATTGAAAAATAGAACAGGTAAGATGTTAGTTAAAAAGTTTGATAATAATTAAACTTAAATTGAATTGTTAAGTTTTTCAATCAGGAAAAATATATGTTTTTAGACAACCAAAATAACTTAACTTATATAAATTACAATTTTATAATCCATTATAATTTCATTTGTTTGAAGTGCATTAATAATATAATGTTTATAATAAATTTTTACATTACAGAATGGGAAGGCATGTAGAAAGAGAGCTAAGAAAGTAAACCAGCAAAAAAAGCTGAAACAACTCTCACTGGGCATGGAAACTGATTTATGAATGACATGTTTATCCATTTTATCTTTCGGTGAAGTAGAAGAGCAAGCTTCTTGTGAGTTAACATGTGTTAAGTCTTCCCGGTCCTCATCAGAATTAGCGGTAGCATTGTTGTGAAGGGTGGTGTCAAGGAGTGATATAAAGTTATTCAATTCTTTGTTCTCTCTCCTAAAAAATATGCCATTAAGGAAAGAAATTATATTAAAAAAATTTATCATGGAAAAATGACCCCTTAAATAAAGATCAATATTTCTTTATCTTTGAAGAACTGTCTACCATGAAAAAAGCAAGTTGCAAACATCAATTAAAATGTATGCAAAATCTGCAAAAAATATAACATTTTTATGATTAACAACACCAATGGTTTCTAAAAAAATTTTTGATTCTCTGAGCCTTTGCCAAATTTTGGTTTTCACCAGGTGTTTTATGCCAAGTCATATTCAAACAAATACAGTTCACATTAGGGAACAGATTTTTTTGAGTAAGATGAAAGGGTTGGGTAAAATAAATAAAGCACATATTTAGGTCGCTAAACTGTAACTGTAAATGTGTATTTGGAAAACACAATTGCTATTCTTTCATATTATATTGTTTTATTATCTATCATAGAGGGTCACCACTACCAAGTGCTCAGAAAAAATAATTGTTGAGCCAAGAGGCCTATGTCCCTAAAACATTTCAGTACCACACTAATGGAAAAGGTAACATTATTTTTATGCACAAAAAAAAAGAGATTATTTTTAATTTAGAATTTAAGAGAAGCAACAAATGTGAATACAATAATTTCACTTCCAATCCCCTTTGACTCATTGATACTTACATTTTATATTATAGATATAATGTTCATCTCTAACAATACTGGAGCCATTTAAAATTGTTTAATTACTTAGATTTTATGCACTGAAAATACAATTTATTTTAATGAAAATCTATTGTTTTTATAACAGATTTTTTTTCTGAGCTTTGGTGTTTATCATAAAATGTTAGTTTTTGTTATTATAAATACACATGACTTTGTTTTTCAGTAAAAACTTACCTGTTGCTTTCTTTTTCATTGGTGCTCTCCACTTTTGATTTAGATATTTGTTGAGAATCTTCTGAAGAACTTGAACTGTCAAGCAATGATGGCTGTTTGAAATGACCAAGACTCGGTTTCTGTCCATTCATGGGCATCTAAGAATATTTATAAAGCTAGTAACTATCCGTGTGAATATATTTTTCATTGTAGGCTGAAAACAACATTATAAATTTATAAATTACACAAATGACTTTTCAACATTGTTGAGAACTAACATGAAGACGAATGGAAGCTTACATCTTTCTTCTCAGCATGAGTTATCTTTTCTGATTCTGTTCTCTGTGGTAAACGTCTTAGTTTAACCATCCCAGGATTTAAATTCTCAACAGCTGGAAAAATATTTTAAAAATTGTGCAGAGTTCTTGAACATCTTTCAAAATGTATTTCATAAAAAATATGCAATGAATTTTATGGATTGTTATCTATGGCACTTTTAAAACAGTTCTTTATTAAAAGTTGTATCCTTTAAATGGTATTTCTTTCAGGCATTCTTTTGGAGGTCCTCTGTTGCCCCCCCCCCCCTTCCCCTCAATCATAGAGAAAAATGGGTACAACAATAAAGCAAAAGTAGATTTTAAAAACTCTATTAATATAACATTTTTAAAAAGATTAGTATAGGATACCTTCACTGATTGAAATTAATGAAATAGTGAAACCAATGAAATATTGGTATATGGTCAACATATTTAACGATCCAAATAGTTAAGGCAAATCAGTCGTAACAGTACTAACAGCATTAGATGCTGAATATTTGAAAATGTCTTGAAGCTAAACTCAAACATGGTTCAAATAGATTTCCAATGTTTGAAATTAGTTTCAAGAAGTTTATTTCAAACATTAATAATTAACACCCTTAACCATTTCAAAAGTTGATCTGATTTTATGAAGCAATAGACACTTCAAAAGATTTCCAGTCTATTGCTTCATAAATTCAGATAAACTTTTGAACTGTTTTAGGGTGTTAATTATTAATTGTTTAATGTTATTATACTTTAAAAATATAGTATAAAGCACATCTGGAAATATGTATAAAAGAAATTTGGTGGAACGGAACTACGGTCGCACAGAAATTTGATTTGATGGAAATTAAGTCGAATGGATGTTTGCTCAAATGGAAATTTGATCACTTTAAAATTTATTTGTTGTTGTAGTTAAGTGTGAGTTAGAGTGGGGAGATTTGTTCAAAACATTTTAACAGTGTTTACAACAATGGGATTTCAGAATACTGCTACTGGAATATTTTACTCTAGTAGCATACCTAAACTGCTTGTGTCTTTTAATGCAACTTCTCACAGATAAATCACAAATTAATAAATGTATCATTGATGTAACACTCAAAACTAATAGATTTTCTAAATTTACAGGGGACACTAAAAAAACGTAATACCTTCAAAATGAACTTTAAAACATTCGATTAAATCATCTGACAGGATATGTACTTTCCACTCATGTAGTTTTAAAAATGGCATGGAGATATTCTTTTTCTTAATAAATTTGAAAAATATCCTGCATTAAAAAAATAATTGGGCTTGCCCGTTGACAGAGTTGTAGCAATTATATGATACCTAATCTTCTTTATATAAATAAAACAGATGATCCCCCCCCCCCCAACCACTGATCAAATTGAAAGAAACACTGGAGCCACAGATAAATGCATCAGCACATACATCCATCATAGGGCAGAGATTTTTCAATCATCAGTAAATGTCACTTTCTGCAGTGGGGATCTGCAACTTTATGGACTTTCATTGGATGAGTCAAAATTTGTATACCGGGTAAACGGATTTTAGATCAGAAATACTTACAACAACCTTTTAATTATGGGAATTCAAAATTCAAACAATTTCAGAACTATTTAGACTACCAAATTCTTTACAACTTTCATGAGATTCTATGTCCACTTGATTGTTTGTCTCAAACAACACATTATCTATGTCCACTTGATTGTTTGTCTCAAACAACACATTAACTATGTCCACTTGATTGTTTGTCTCAAACAACAAATTATCAGTTCATTTTGACTTTGAGTAAAGCAAAATAGCAACACTAATTCCCATTTCAAAGATATGTATTTTATGTCTGCATTCTCTGCTATTGTAGCCCTAATCCTACTTACAGCCTGCAGTGTCATTCTTCTGCTGGCGCCTTCTTTGTCTAGCAGACTGATTTATAAGACTCTGTAAATTGAAGTTTTAGTATTAATACACAGAGTAAGCTAATGTGTAAAATACAAAATAGTATGGGGAAAATTCATCAAATTTTTGTCAAATTGGCTTGTCCAAAGCTCATACCCCCCACATACATTTTTTTCTTTATGTGACATAGTCATTGTTTACACCAAATGATAAATGATATTAGCTTTCTCCTAAGCTGTCAAGACTTAAATTGCTTGATATGTATATATATTCATAAGAAACATAATTTTTCACACTTTCACTAGACATCTATCACAAAAAAAAAAAGAATAGCTTATGTATTTACAGCCCAGTAGTTTTATCATATTCCAAAATCTGTTATTTACATTTCTTCAGAAGTAATATTGTAATCCGAAGTAATGCCTAACTGTTTGTACATTTTAAAATTGACAAAATTATGTATTATTTCTAAAATTATGGAACAGCCATTTGACAGAGTGAATTTTCCAAAACCGTTTATTTAACATTGCTTTAATTCTTTCATTTTTGAAAGAGGTTTTTTCTCATTTCCAAATTTTGACACACTAAATTAAGTCCTTTAGCTAAAAGTGTTACAAAGACACTGAGTTGTATATGTTAAGATGTAAAAATAATATTATCTTCTCTTTTAGAAAATTTAAGTTGATAATTATCATTAAATATTAATAAAAATTACATGGAAAAATAAAATTAAAACAAATCTCCCCTACCAGTATTTATCATCTTATTTGGAAGTAATTAGCTTGAGTAAAACCTGTAAGTTACCTTTGGTATTTCTGTATCCAAATGATTACTGTTGTCTTCTTTGGAGCTGGAGATACTTGAATTTATGGATGAATGCGGTGAATCTTTTTGGCTTTCTGTATAATTATTATTACTACTATTATGGAGTTGAGGGAGACCTGAACTTTCTGCTGCTCGGGGTACAGGAAGCGGCCGAGGCTTTTCATCAATCTTTTAATAAAAGAACAATTTGGGATAAAAGTATTTAAGTAGTTTATAAAAGTATATTATTAAAATATACATTATTGTAATTGCATCTGTTTTTAATGTTAATAAAATATCCTTAATACATTTGTAACAATAATGTATAATTACCCGGTACATCTAAATGGCAATCAAATTTGGAAATCTGTCCATTAAAAAAAAATTGCTACTGACCAGAGTGACAAAAACAACTCAAAATTTGACCCCAAAAATTAGACTTATAACAAGCTATTTTCATTTAAAAGATGCCATATATCTGTTTCCATTTATGAATGATCTAAAATTTGTTTTATTTGCTTAAATGAATTATAAAACAGACAACCAATACAAAAGACGACAGATACAGAACGATTATATTTAATACCTGGATCTCCATAACAGTTTTATGAGTTTCAGGTGACTGTTTGAATGGTGGTGGTTTTCCTAAAACATTTTTTGAGCATTCCCGTTCAGTCTCTCTGATTTCTTGATCTTTTGTTTCGTTTTTTTTGGCATGATTTTTCAAGAAATTTTTTTTCCGTAAAGCTCCATCTTTCTGGGAAAGCTTTTTCTGAAAAATATCAAACAATTCATGTCATGGTATTAGAGCAGCTGAGATTTTTTAGGCCAAGACTATTAACATTTTGTTGTTGTAAGATCTGTTTAACTAATTAATTAGAGAATGTGAGGTCTGATAATTATGTGGGTGGGTGATTTCAGCTCAAATTTGAGTGAATCTGATTAGTGGAGGGTTTAGTGTGAGAAAACAAAATTGGATGTATACAGTAAGAGCAAAGATTTATGAGGCAGACCAGGGCCCATGACAGAAAGATGTAATGTGACTTGTGGAAATAAATTACAGAGAAAGCATCCTTTTTGTGAAGTCAGATCTCTAGGAAAACAGAGTTACACAGACAGAGCCTAGACAGAAGCATAACTTGTGAGATGAGTTCAAGCTTAGAGTAAATAATCATTTGTATTATGTAACCTTGTCTTGAGCATCTTAATCACATTATTCAAATGCCTGACAGATAATAGAAGAACCTTAACCAGTTCTCCTTTATTGTGAAAACAGAAATATTTGCTAACTGAAATAATTTTCCCCATTGAAATCAATGTACATTCAATTAATCTGGTTCAGCCTTAGAAATATTGTGTTTTGACATTTTTTGAGTGTTTTTCTTTAATGAAAAATATATATATTTTTTTCTAGCCAACACTATTTCAAACCAGCTGCTTTTCAGTTATCCAAACTAGCATCAGTTTTTTGACTTCCTCAAGCCCTCTTTGTTAACAGTCACTCCTTAGGCCACATGAGCCGCCTTTATTGCCCATATGTTCATTAGAATTGAACAGATCCTGGATTTCACCATGTTGTTTATCCGTCGAGGATCTACAAGGACCATCAAGTCATCTGGTGACCGATGACTTGCGCGGGTGACTTTTGTTTAAAGTGAGGAAGAGTTGCGCGGCGTCAACCTCACTCTCTCTTCCGGGCCCACCATATCCAGTGGCAAGACTCTACGTCAAGACAACCAGGGATGGGTACGGTTGCAGGAATGTCATTGTATGCGCCTTACGGGACTCCAACTTCGGGTTTGAATTCAGAGTTTCCTTCTCTTAGACGAGTTGCCGACCAAGGTTAACGAGTCTCATCCACCCGCGGTTTTTGCTTGACTGGCCTTTGGCTGGAATTGAACTCAAGACCACCAACTTGAGGTTTGCTCAATTTAGACCATTCGGCCACCCAGTCACCAAAATGTATTTCTTGGCGACATTGGAAACACACAGGCCATTTTCATGTTTTAATCTTTATTTCTTTACTTCCACACTACCACAATTCATATTAATAATGTTTTTCTCCTTTAAAGTGTGTTAAACTGACACAAAAAGTTAAAAAATAACAAAAAGTAGTGCTTTTAACACAGCATTCAGACTACTGGATTGTGGAGTACTGGCCCATGCATATGTTCATAATGGTTCTTTCACAAGACAAACATTTTTTAGAAAACTTGTTTGTTAACTGATTTGTTTGTTAAATTTAAATGGTGCATTTATTTTCTGAGGTATATGAAAAATTAATATTAAGATGAACTCTTACTAACCAATGAATCATTGCAAGCCTGAGATCCTTGTCCAGAGGTTTGGACAACATCTTTATTTGTTTCTCTATCGCCTGCTGGTACTTTAACCATTGATTTCAAAAGTTTTGAAGGATTTTCCGCTTGCAGCTACAAAGAAAAAGAAATGTTTCTACTTAAATTTTTTTAAAACCTATTTTCTTTCTCAACCTGTTTTGAATTATTCCATGATATGCCAATTAATCAAAGGTAAAGTATAAGTATTAATTGACAGAGTGACACATTATTAACTTATAAAAGTACATCATTAACTCATAAAAGTTAAGCTTAGATTATGTTTAACATGAAAATTATAAGGCATGACTTATACATGGTAAGGCATGACTTGAACATGGTTAAATGTGACAGAAACACAGTAACAGACCTGTTTACTCTTACGATTTTGGAGTAAAATGTACGTTTTTGAGGTGTATACATTTAATATACTGTATGTTTATTTTTTTTACTATTAAGATAATGTATTGAATGATTTTATGATGATATTGTACGATATCAAGAGTTTGAGGGTAAACAGGTCTGCAGTAAGAGGTGAAATTAAAAAGTTACTGGATTGTTACAATTTACATCTTTCCAAAGTCTTAAATAATATAAAAACTTGGAAGATAACATAAAATAAATATCTCCTTAATGGCACAGGGTATGTACTAGTTAAATATGAATTAGTACAGATCACATACCCTACTGTTCTCTTCTGCCAAGGCATGAGATGATGCTTGATTTGACTCATTCGAAGAAGCCACATTAAGAATAGCAGATGGATTTGAAGTTTTCCTGGATGATACACTGGACAGACTGCTGGACGACACTCTCCTACTACTGCATGTTTTAAAGGTAAAAATTCTTAAAGTTATTTATCTGTTCAAATGATAATAAAATAGCATCCTATTTTTTCTTACGCACTTAATTTTATTAAATTTAAAGGAGCTCATATTGGAACAAGGTGACCAGACTCTAACTTTCTTTCAAATATGTTTTATCCACATTTTACTTGCTGTTCACTGTCAGTCAGTCACAAAAAATTATGAATGTATTATGTTGAGAATATATGAGTAAAATGTGTGTTAAAGTGTATGGATCTCACGTGTGCAATTCATACTAGCGTAAATTTTCATGAAGTTTATTTTAAATAAAGAGAGGGAGCTGTAAATGTGAAGAGACAATATTTTTCTTAATTACAATGGAATGAAAAAAAGTTAAATATTTTTGATAATGACAATAAATTTAATTTTCTGCTTTGTTTAGTTCACATTCTTATAGAGAATGGAGCAAACACATTTTGCTAACATAAATACAGACTCTACTGGAATGCTGTCAAATGGTCCAAAAGATCAGAACGTTGTTTCTAATTACAAGACTAATGGATAAAGAGGATCCTTCTTTATGGATGCAATCAGCGAACTTCAGTTATGGTCAGCACCACCTAACCACAAAAACAGTGATTATATAATGGTAGGTCCCGGAGAGAAAGCCGTAAGAGAGCTTCACCTTTCCTGAGTTATATCTTGTCGGTGATAAAAGTGGCAGTCTGAAAATCCAGCCCTCTTACGTAGAGAGCTGCTGTCTTGGAGATGATTGATGCTTTTGTCTTCACAGGTGGTTCAGCAACAACAAGAAAAAGGACAGGGTACAGGACAATAACACTCTACACCACGGAAAAGGGGGCTGGTTTGTGGGGGAAGGGACCACTGAGAAGATATTAAAACCTAGCATGGCCACTGGAACAAACTTTAAAGCAGAGCTTGAAGCAATTTATGAGGCACCATGCAGCAGGTACACCGCAGTTTGTACGATCTAATCCCCAATCATACAGAATTTTTCAAACTTTTTTGGGTCTTGAGACAGAAGGCAAGGATTCATTATATTCAAAGATGGTTAGTGCCATCCTGTAGATTGTAGACATCACCAACAGTAGACTTTGTGGAATAGGTCAGGTAAGGACAGACTATTGCCCAACTCATAGTTACTTTAACATAGTGAATCTGCAAAGAGATCTGACCTGCTGTCAGTTTTTAGGTGCCTGAAATGGTTTTCCATTTACTGCTCCAATAACCTGCTTTTTTTTGGGGGGGGGGGGGGGGGGGAAGAAGGGGAGTGAGTCCCCATTTATGAAGTTTTTGTATGTTAGTACTCAGCAGATGAAGCACAAGGCTGTGTCATTACCCAGGGTCAATTAAAGGGATTAGCTGGGATACTACAGTATATTAGCAAGTACTAGTTACTTATAGTCATTGTAAAAAAAAAACCAACCTTTTTTTTGTATCCTCAAGAAAGATAGCTATGTTCATCTTGATGTAAGGATCACGCAAAATTCTATTCACACTGGGTCTCTTATCTGGATCTTGATGTAACATGCTCTTCATGAGAACTAATAGCTCACTGCTATACTGAAGTGGCATTTGGGGCATCTGTGGAAGTTAAAATGATTTTACCGCTCAATATTAAAGAAGAGGAAACTCTAACAAAATAAATATGTGACGTTGAAAAAAAGTAAAAATAAACATTGAGAATCAGGGATAACAATTAAAACAGGAAAAAAAAAATCAAGCAATAAATCATAGTTAAGTCTTTCTATAAATTTTTTTATACATGTACTATGTCTTATTAGACCTTTTGCTGCTGCCTTTACTGACTATAACAGACTTTAGGTCAAATTTAATCTCTTTTATATATATTTTGTTTCTGGTGTGTACTGCTTCCTTTTCACAACCCCCCCCCCCCCCCTTTTTTTTTTCACTCAACATGTCTTATATTAATAGTACTGAGTGGGGAAAAAAAGCTGTCATGCAGCAGGCAACAGACATGATGGCTGAACTCAGATAAAAAGGTTGAATTTTTTTTCTTTCTATGATACTAATCAATAAAGAGCCACAATTATTGTGTAGGACTGTCTGAAGACTGTCTGTAGGACTATTGTTTTAAGTTCCCCAGGTAGGGTGTAGCACTGTCTGTAGGCCTATTGTTTATAAAAAAAATGAGAAGTTAACTCTTTTTTGTGTGCAACACTTGGACCCACTGGGTATTTTCTCAAAATACCCCAGACCCGGTGTGAAAAAACTGCACCCAGGGCATAAAAACATGTTAAAAACATAGCAATAATCTTGTCAGAAACCAATACACAGTTCTGATATCGGAAATTCACAAAACCCAGCATAAGACTTACCCTGCCCTTCAGGATTTTATAGACCAGTGAATTCATGTCTTTGGCATTAAAAGCATGTTTTAATGTTGTCATTTCATATACACAGCAACCCAAAGCCCAAACATCAGACTGAAATAAATGTACAGTTTTTAAAAATTTTATATTTTGACCATATGACGACTATAAGGCTACATTCATGATGCCATAATCCTTAAACATCTGTCAATAACTTGTAGGTGATTTTTTAATTATTTCTTTTGGTTTGCCGACATACTGTTTCACTTTTTTCATTGTTTTTCCTTTAACATATTAACATACAGGTAAATATTTCTAAAATCACTCAATTATATTTTTTTTCACTTTAGGCTACTGTGACTTTTTGTAATAATGTGGACAGAACCAAATGTGTCCTCATGTTAACATATATTTCTGAAAAATCAAGATACTCTTCCAGCTGACCATGGTGCATACCACATTTTCCCACAACACCCATCACCCCACCCTCATGTGGTATTTAGGCGCGATAAGAATTGATGTGATCTTCTATGTCGTAGTCACCTTTGAATCAACTCTTCCCATTTTGGAACTAAGACATGTGGTCATAGCTTCTGTAAGACCTGGCCTTACACTATTCAAACTAAACAAATTGACTTCCTAAGGGTTCTTTTATAATAAAAGATTAATTAGACACCAACAATTTGTGTCAATATAACAATATAATTTAAGCTTTAATAATAATGATACATAATACACAAGTAAACCTTTCGGCACATGCCTTCATCAGTACAATAACAAAAGATTTAAATAAGTATAAATTAAATTTACGTAATATATATATATATATACAAATATCCTACCTAAAAAAATATTTTAAAAAATAGGAGAGGGCGCAAAAACACCTGACACCACACGGTATGTATGTCATTATCTCTTTTACTTGCTGACATATACACTCTATCTCTCTCCACCCCCTTTACATTATATGACTTATTCTTATTACAGTGACATTCCTTTCCTTTCTTCTTTATGACCTTTATATTTGCTATATTTGAGATTTTGAGGGTAGGTAAAGAAAGAGCCCATTAGTCTTTTGTGTTCTTTCCCTAATATTTGCCTCATATCCAACATCCTTGCTAACCCTATCTATGCAGTCCTCATTGTTTTATAGCAATCTTTGATTTCCATCTTATTGAATTAATTTATTTCAAATATTTTAGATTTCCTGTTAATCTCATACGCAAATTCTTTTATTTCATGGGTGACTCCATAGATATGTATACCATTTCCTGTAGACTACATAATCTAAACAACAAGCTAAGAGTTTTTGTGTCTGTCTTGAACTGTTTTTGCTGGAAGGCTTTTTTGGCCCAAATATTCACTTTCTGTTAATGTCCTTCTTCAGGTTTTCCTCTCCTCATTGTATATTGCTTATTGCTTCAACCTAAACGCAGTCCTCCCCATATTTCTCTGTAAATTTTTAAGCCCCACCCCAATTTTTTCCCTGAAAATTGGGTGTAAAAGAATTCGTTAACAAAGTCCAGGTTTCAAATAATTGTTGTGTAACAATGTGTACACACCAGTCTTCTTCCTTAAGAAATCTTAAAGAAAATGAAAAGCTTAGATGGAACTCTGACAGAATCAATGTTATGAACCATGCATCTTTTATTATTATGTGGTCACATCCTGGCTCAAAATATGGTGTAATTCAAATATGTTGCAATATTTCAGAAAATGTTGCAGCTCAGAAACTCATTAAAAACATTGCATGGTTTTTAAAAATGAAAAGTGTTTGGGAAAATCGGCCCAGTGCAGCAAAGGTAGGCTAGAGATGTAAGGTCCATCAGATTTAAAAAAAAATTAACACATACCTAACAAACAATGCGATAATTTAAAAAATTTCTTAAAATGTTATTATTATTCAAAATAATTTGTCATTTTTGTAAAAATCAAGAACAAGTTACTAGTTTCAAAACAGAATTTTGATTATTTTTCAAGACCCTCAAACAGTTGAAATTATTCATTTTGACTATAATTCTGCCAAAGACAAGAGACATTTTTAACATCAATATTATAATTAAATCCTTCTCTGAAATCTGTGTAGAAAAACAACTTACCTTATGATTATACGGCTTGTTTGAAAAGAGTTCTGGGCTCATATAATAAGGAGTCCCTATTAATGTGGTAGCCATATCTCCTGCACTTTCTAGAACTCTGAAACAAATAAAAGTGATTAGCAAATGAAAGCATTTATATATTGTGTGTGTGGCATTATTGATATGCCATTTTACACTTTTTATTTCTATATCTCAAATCTATAAATTTATATTACATCGAAAAAATAACAGAAAACCTTCCTCAGTGGACCAATAGGAACAAAATAAGAAATTAGGGGGAAACAATAAAATATACCAAGTATCTAAGCATCAATTACAGGCCATCCATATTTTAAGTTGACAAAAATGTCAAAATGTCGCACTTTTCAGGTTTTTCCATGGCAAAAAAAAAAATATTAAGAATTGGGTTAGATACAAATGTTAATGCATTTTATTATAAGTTCAAATGTTGAATCACCCAATTAAAAAAAAAAATTAGATCGAGAACAGTGGTTACCTTATCTTTCGCTGTGAAGCCTTCAATATTTCCTACAACTATTGTGCAATGAGATTTTAAAATTCACAGCTCTATTTTAAAATCTTTTTGTCAATATTTTAGTGCTGTATTTATGTTTAAAAAGCTTACCTCACTGAGATGGATTTTTTTTCCCAGCACAGATACACTTTTTACATTTTTTATGCAGGTAACCAAGCTATCCACCCTTGAAATATAAAATAGATTTTTCTATAATACAATATATTCATATCCATTTCACATACCTTGCAATTCCCAGATCTCCTACTTTAATAATTTTACTCTTTGTTAAAAAAATGTTTTGGGTTTTCAGGTCACGGTGTAAAATGTTGCGTTCATGCATATACTGGAAGAAAATATCAGTCATTAATTTCATAATGAAGAACCACTGCAATTAAATAATTTCAATATTCCTTAAAATTACGCACAAGTTTAAAGAGTTTGTGTTTATTAGTGTCAGAGAATGAGAAAAGAAAAATGTGAAAAATCAAAGAGAATTCAACCAAAGTATTTTAACAATGTGAACTGACACTTGTCTCAATTAGTCTTAATGCATAAACTAAAACCAGCGAGTGTGAAGGGATGGAACATGTACAAAAATTTTAACTAATCTGCTATGAAGGACTATCATAATTTAAAAATATTTATTTAAAGGAAAATCCTTAACAGGCAATAAAGTTAGTATGATGCAGAATTACCTGGAGAGCCATAGCAATTTGAACAAACCATTCAACCACTTGTCTTTCTTCAAGGGGGACAGACTTTTGTTCTTTTAATCTTGCATATAGGTCACCACCTTCACAATATTGCATAGCAATATAAAGGAATCCATTATCTGTTTCAAATGAATCTTTATAGGCAACAATATTTGGGTGTTTGAGCTTTGATAGCAATTTAGCTTCCTGCTCCGCTGATTTCCGCTCCCTTTTGGAAGCTTTTCCTAAATTTATCTTTTTCAGAACATACTGAAAAATAGAAATATAAATTAATTTTAACAAATATTCTACTTTAAAAAAAAATGTTACATATTATTTTTTAAAAAAGAAAGAAAATATTAGGTAAATGGGATGAAATACTATTTGGTAAGTAGCCAAGACAATTTAATACAATACACAGGGTAGGTAGTCAGGACTATGTAATAAAAGTGCCCAGAAACAACTAGTTCAGAAACTACCAGTATTTTAATCTGGATAATTAAGTATATATGTACAAAGTTTGGTAGAGATCCATCCATCCACACAGTAGCCTTTGTTTGGAATTTTATTTATGTAGCTCGTAGCAGGAAAAACTAAATTTGAGCAAACACAGGACATTTTTTTATACATTTTTTAAAATTCAAAGCTCCCAGTATTTCATTCTGGATAAGAAAGGCTATGTGTGTTAAGTTCAATCAAGATCCATCAATCCATGTAGAAATGTATGTGGAAAAAACCCATAAATTTTCACTTTTATATACCGGTATATAACATATACTGAAACAATTAAAATACATGTACCTGCTTTTTGTCTTTTTTATGTTTTGCCAGCCACACTTCACCATAACTTCCTTTTCCAATCACTCTGATACGTTCAAAATCTTCATTTTCCATAATGTTTTTTGTTCATAGCCTACAGAAAAACAATTTGTAAAAATATCATTTGTTTATTCAAACTAAAACAAGATTCAATTGTTTTTTACACTACATTAGACAGTTTCTCTGGGTGATTTTCCTAACAAAGGCTCCTGCATCATGCATGGGGCAAAAAAAACAGTGACATCCCATCACTACTAATAATACATAAAAAAAAAAAATACTACAAAAGCTATTTCCTCTTATCCATAAAAAAGAAAAATAGCTGCCTTGTTGAATTAACTTGAAATAAAATTAGAAAACTTTAATTATTAGTGTCTGAAAATTGTGCCAGCTTTTCTTTTTTGCCCGCAGCATACAGAATTTATTTATAATCATGTCCAAGCCATGTATGACATTAAATGTTAGATGTTATAATTACTTTAATATTTATGATATTATAATTTCAGAATGATTTATACATTTTTAACTTTTGTAATTATTTTAAGTTCTATTATGGTTGATACACAGAGCAAAGAAATTATCTCAAGGTATTTTACTCTCTAGCCTCCCAGAGGCATAACCAATGACAGCATTTTGTCCAATTTCTGAAATCTCTACTATATAGCGACTTTGTGCACGGCTACAAAACAAAACAGTGCAAATTTTCAGAATAAAACTGTCTAGTTTCAATGCAGCTGGCTCTCAAGGGCAGATTTTGTCTGGGAGTTACTCAAGATCTAAATCAGCCAAAACATTCCTCTAACTCTCTAAACACGTAAGTCAGATGTTTTAGGAAAGACACTTTTTTTTTACGAGGCATCATAAAATATTTAAAAAACTGCTATAGTGGAAAGTACATTTTCTAACCCATTTTAACGTTATTAGACTTATGAGTTTAGAGAGTTAAAGTGACGCACTGTATTAAGCATTTTTATGCATCAGTAGCATTAACTAAAACCATCTTGTTTACATTGACAATCCAGTTTTCAGATGAAATATTTAGATCACATGTGTCAAACTCAAGGCCCGCGGCCACATCTGGCCCGCCAAACAATTAAACCTGGCCCGCTAACAATTATATCCCGCCCGCGAGGTCTTGACCGGCATACAATTATATCCAAGTCACACTAAGGTGTTTCCCAATGCACACTTTGCAGAAAAACTTAGCTTACTTCACACCATGCTTGCACGGTGCTTTAGTGGCTTTGAATCACAGAAATGTAATTTCCAGCTGTTTGTAACCCATAAGTCATAGATGTGAAAACTGCACCTGTAAATTTGCAGATGGAGCTAATAGAGCTGCATTGTAATGGGTCACTAAAGGCAAAGTACGACACAGTTGGGCCGGAACAGTTCACTTGTTTCATTCCTGAAGAGATGCCCCAGCTTCATTTACATGCGGCTTGAACCTTGAGCATGTTGGGTAGCACATATATGTGTGAGCAGCTGTTTTCTGTGATGAAGATTAACAAAACATCACACAGGAGTCATCTCACTGGTGAACACTTGCAGTCCGTCATAAGAATCTCAATGACACAGAACGTTACTCCCAACATAAATGAACTTAATTGTTTTTGTAGCCAAGAAAATGTGCCAAACATCCAGCTCTGACAAACTGGCATAAGAACGAAAATGGGTATGCCAATTATTAAATTTTTTTTCTGTTTTCATTTATATAAATGTTTTTTTATAAAAGATTAATTTTCCGCTTTTTGAATGGTTATCCTGCTCGGCCCGCAACCTTACATGTGATTAGAGTTTTGGCCCTACAAACAATTGAGTTTGACACCCCTGATTTAGATATTGTAATAAGGTTATGGTGGTTATTCATTTTATAATAAAAGATACAATTAATGTAACATTTCTAACTTGAATCATGGTAATAAAGGGTTCCTAACCTACTGCATAGATAAAACAAATTCTGAACAGAAAAAATAGAGAGAATAAATAATTTAGAATAGTGCAGTGCCTTAACTAAATAAATAACAATTTTTAGGCCAACAAGTTTAAGATGGTCATTTATACTTTTTTTACAAGCACAATACTGATATTTGGATGTTGATCCTTGTTAGTTGTGAGTTGTAACTAGTATAGATTAAAACTACAAATATTATAACTTTATCAAAAGATCGAGTTCATCTGATATCTAGGAATAAATAAATCAAACTGTCATTGTCACCACAAATAATCAGATCAATGATGTAGGAATTGGAGTGGGGATGGGTGATCCCCCTGGCGCCACATATTTCTATATATTAAGGGCGGAAAATATTTTTGGCCCACTACAACAATATGTGTAACCAGTTAAATAAAAATATGAGTAGAAAAAAATTAGGCGCAAAGTAGATCGCAACAAGCTTTCACTTTTAATTAAGGCAGTAATCATCAAAGATATTGAGAGATATTTTATTTTGATGATGAAAGGAAGGACATGAAATAATAAGTTCAATTTAGGCCTAAATACAGCCAGTATGATATACACTACTGAGTATATACAGAGTATGCTTTAGCTTTCTTCAGTGCAAAAAAATTTAGTTAAAATGTGTTAAGATTTTTTTTAAAAATCATATAAATTGAAAGTCGACTTTAAGCTGTTAGAACCCAGGAGAAGCAGACTATTCATAAAGATTAACTTTAAAAGGAGTCACTTTAAATGCAGCAATTTTATGTATATAATGTGGGTACAATAAATCTCTTTAATATTTTAAAAATAATTTCAATGATTTTATTTTACTACAAACCTTGGGATTTGTTGCTCAAAGATATGGTTTTGTGTGGTCTATAATAAATTCTCCACTGCTATTTGAAAATGTTCATAGGTTTGCCCTGAAATTTTTCTAGCAATTATGAGCTCTAGGCACAGCCAGCATATTAACCCTAAGCTTCAATGCATTATTCACTGATGTTAAGGGTATAAAACGATAATCAGATGTCTTGCTATCTGTAGCAAGTTGTTGATTTTTACAAAAAGATAATTGAATTATTTTTATGAATATTTAAATATAGAATTTATTTTTATTTAGGGATTTTAATACTGTTTTTTTGCAATACGGTTCATTTATTAAATAGTATTTTTTTATGTATTCTCCTTAGATTGTAGATTTTGCTGTAGTAAGTAGATTAGTAAACAAAAATTCCACAAAACTATATATTAAAAAACATAGATCACCTGAAAGAGCTCATAATTTGCAATCCATTGATACTAAGTTTATGTTTCTATGTCAGCTAGAAAAAAAAGTTATTGCATTTTTAGAGTCAGAATTTTTCCTTAAATATTTTACCTAAATCTGTAACAAATAATAAAAACTTTTGGCACTTATATAAATTCCATAACTTTTTCGTTTTTTAAAATAAAACCCTCAGATTTTCAGCATTAATTCATTATAAAATTTTCTATAACATGAGAATATTTAGAAATAAATAATCATTAAAATTTTTAGTATGAGTGATTTTTTTAACCTGAGTTTTTTTGTTTTTTTTTAAATTTTGGTATAAGATTTTGTATGAAAAAAAAAGACATTTATGGAAATTTTGAAACTATAACTTGCTTGGTTACTACTTTAATGTATATCGTTATAGGTCCACTGCTTATTTAGTCCATAGAATAGATGAAATTCACACAAACTTATGAAGTAATCACATACCACTGTAGCAAAGATAATTATGTGTCAATAAATGAAAATGTGAAGATATAGATGATTAAGTTCAACTTAAATTCCATGTAGTTGTTGCTTATTTAATCCATAATGATGAAGAAAAGGAAATGGATGATGATTTAGTCTTTCTGTTGACATTGATAAATCTCAAGAGTCCCAACGGAAAGCTTTTGTAAAACGACATCATTTGATTGTATTGAATCATATTTAGTCCATAGTGTCCATGCCAGTGTTTAAAATGAAGTAATAGTCTCATTAAAGATTATGCGTCCTTAATCAATCCTGAATATGTCCATGGTTATGGTAAATATTATTGCATCCACTGACTGTATTATAAATACATTCATGACAATAACAAAGCTACTGGTTACTATGTGAAAGTTTTTTTTATAATTTTAAGTGGCTGTAGATGTTCATTAAGGGCATCATAATTTGGACGACCGTGATATATTCCATTTAGAATTCCTCGTTAAACTTGAATAAGTGTTGATACGATGAGCAATTTTATCCATCATGTAATAGATCATGTCTTAGCTTTCTATGAGGATGAAGCAGTAGTTTTCCTCTTATGTAGATGATGTGATCTGATGATAAGACAGCGGGAAGGAAATCTGAAAGTATTAAACATGTCCAAAAAAAAAGACATCATCAACTCCAAATAAGTCGAAATGTCAATTCATTTTTAACTAAAAGCGTTAGGAATTACTTTCACAAGTTTTAAAATGTATAAAAGGAATTGTCATGGAATACTACACATTCTATACTTCTAATTAACTGACATGAAAGCAATGACTGATGCATTAAAATTCATCAATTATTAAGTTAAAGATCTCCATTATCAGTGTAAGTATTTTTGTAGACGCTCACAGCTCTCTGGTGCAGATAGTGAGAAGTCACTGGCGCTGAAATTTAAAAAAAAAATTAATTCAAGTTAAGATATTAGGCTACATGTCAAAGGTGCTATAAACAAGTTAAAAAACAATAACAAAATAATTATTTATTAAAAGGGATAATATTAGGCAAGAGATTAAAAATTAATGGTTGGTCAATTTTTTTTCCAGATTACTTGAATTGATGTGTTGGATCTAATAATTAAACTTTATGTATGTTATGATGAAAACATAAATAAAACAAATTGGGAAAAATAGTACTAAATAATTAATATCATAGTTATAGTAGTATGTGTGGGATTCTCAAATATTTAAATAGAAACTGTTCAATTATTGTGTCTTGATTGTTCAATTTTGTTTCTATTAGTTTAAACGTGTTTAAAAAATATAAAAAATGTTTTCAAGAAAAAGATTATAATCTTTAGTTTTTATATAAGGTTTAAATACTAATATATAAGGAGGAAATCTTAAAAATTATGTAGATGGCCCA